ACAGCGGAAGTTGTTTTATGCAAAATGTCGCCATGAGTGTTGAGTACCAGCATAGTCCGTTGTTCAGACGTGCCCAGCTGTCTCAAGGCGCGGAGTCCTATGACGTGACCCTGTGCAGCTATAGCCATGCAGACCTGCTCCCAGAGAGAGCTGGACATGATGGTGAAATCTTAACCGGAGTCCAAGACACCCTCACAGTCCAGCGCCCCCTCCAGGGTCACCAGAATGTAAGGTTTATCAGTAGGACCTTTACGGATGATACTGCAGAGAACCCATCGTGGAAGTCTGTTCGGTGAGTTAGGCTGGCCAGGTCTGGTGGCAGGTTATGTGGGTGCTAGAGGACTAGCGCTGATGGAAGCGACCACACCAGACCTCGCCGAGGTCTCAGGTGTCAGTGTATGCATCGTTGTGTCAGGCTCCACCTCTGCAGGACCTGCTTCCACAACTGAGCCACAAGCAGGTTGAGGATGTGCTACCGCAGAGATGCACAGAACCGACTCACGTTCTGTTGAATCTTTCAACTGGTCAAGAAGTGCGGCACCCAGAGCGTGAATTTTTCCAGGAGATCGGCTCCCAGAATCAGTTCTCCGCCTTGGGGCAGGACTGTAGTCCTTGCGAGCACTACGCGGTGAGTTTCAGCCAGAAGGAGCGCGGCTCTCACCTGAGCGAGGCGAATCTCTCCTGGAGGAGTATGATGAACCCCCCTTTTCTTTACAAGAAACACAATGTTTATCGCGACCGAGTCGTGGTGACTTAGGGTCCCCTCCGTCCGAGGTCTGTTTGAATTCTGAGGCTTGTTATTTGGAAAGCCTTTTGGCTTGGAGTTGCTATTAGAATTCTGGGCCTGTTGTTTAGACCCATTGTTGCAGTTATCATTTTTACGAGTCCCTGATGCAGTCCCTACGAGTCGCAGCGTGGAAGGGTCTGCCCCCACCGCCAGAGCCGAAGGAGCGTGCAAACTCTTATTTGAGTCTTTAAACCGCCTGAATGCACAACTCGTCATTCTCCTGAGCTCATCCATGGGTGTGGTTTTAATGTCTACCGTACCCATGTATGGCTATACTGAGCATGTAGATTCTCAAGGAAAATCTCCTTGAAACCTTTTTCCTCTTCCATCCCGTCCTTACATTCCGTACCAAAGTATGCGTCGAAGAGGCATAGATAGAAGGCTTGTGGGTCTTCAGCACGACCCTGGTTGACTGACAAAGCTAACTGTACACCAGCCTCCTTAGCATCGTAAGTGTACTCTTTCCGAATTGCAGCTTCCAGCCTGTCGTAATCATTTGCGATTGCATTACGCTTGCGATTGATGAACGAACCCACAACATCAGAGGTTAACCTTATTAAAAAGATCTTGTCCTCCAAGGTCATTCCCGGTCATCGCTGAAAGTGATGCCGGAGGTCACTCAGGTATGTGTCAACCGGGTATGAATTACCTGGTCGAGGGTTGAACTTCTTGACACTACAGGACATCCTGTAGATGTCAGCCATAGACAAGTTGAGTTCAGTTGGGCTGGCTGGAAAGCTGGTACAACCATCGCAGCAGCACCAGCAGGTGCAGCAGGAGGGTATTGTTGTGCAGCTGGAAATTGTGGCTGGGCTGCAGGCACATATGGATTAGCTGGAGGTGGAAATTGATAAGCTTGTGGTGGATATTGATGAGCTGGAGGTGGAGCAAAATGAGTTGGAGGTGGAGCAAATGGAGAAGGTGGAGGAGGTGATGGAGTTGGAGCAGGTTGAGATGGGGCTGTAGCAGGTTGAGACCGGTGGAGTAAAGGGGTCCCCCTTTCTCCTTTGAGTGCAGAAATCTGCAATTTTAAATCCTCAATTTCCATTTCTCGGTTATGTACCTGAGCTTCAGAATTAATTACATCAACCTTTAAAGCACATTTCCCATTCTCCAAGGTAGCAACTTGACTCTCCATCTGGGTCTTGTTATGCAACAAATTAACATTTTCAGTCAGGGCTTTGTTCAGCGCTTTCCGAGCATCCATCAGCTCCTTGCTGTGCTGTTCCTCGTCAAAGTCGGAACCACAGGCTCCTCCTTTTTGCTGTTGGTCAGAAATTGTATGTATTACACCTTGTGTTTCCACATGAGCAGCAATCTCTTTGTCCCAGAGATGAGCTAGTAGAACAGCAAATCCCACCAGGTTCTCTGTGCGGGCAGCTGGCTTCACTTTCTCACCTTCTTTGGGCAAATTTTCCAAGTGTATTAGCAACATACTCGTCAGATCAGTAACTGAACAATTCTGTAGGTTGTCATCAAAACTATGAGCAGTCATGCTGGTAGAACCTACACATGCTGTTACAGCGTCAATAACTTGTCTACCCACAGAGGAAAAACGCAGTTGTTCTTCCTCAGACATTATTAAAATCAAAAGTGAATTTTTGTCACAAGAATTGTAATGTACAAAGGTGCCACGGGGCGGCGACAGACGTTGCGTGGCTTGGGACCCACACAAGACGGCGGTGAGCCAAGATGGCTGCCTGTGTTTCGATTATATGGTCTAATTCTCATAGAACTGAACCGCCCAAACAACCGAACCTTCGTGAGGCATCTGCAAAGCTCACTGGAAGGACACAAACCGAGGACAATATTTTCCTGATATAGGGTTTATTACTCAAGTAAGGGTAAAAAAGTATCTGATTAGAAGGCTACTTGAGTACTGAGTATCATCTGATCTAATATTTTAAAAATGATTACACATCGAACAGACAAAATAAGAAGTTATGGGCAAATATTGGTATTTTAGAGACTAAAGGGGAAAAACGTAAACAAATAAACAACATAATTACAAAATAACACATTTTAGGCAAAATTTAGACACAAACTGAGGACAATATTTCCTGACATACAGGGTTTATTTAATTGTGTGAAAATGTAGCACGTTTAAAAAAAATACCACGATAATACCAAAAACCGTGGTAATTTTGGTCACAATAACCGTGAGGTTAAATTTTCACACCGTGACAACCCTAATACAGACCATTTTAGATTAGGTTACATTTCCTTTATTCCCAGATTATGTAGTTTGTAGCACTCATTATAATGTTGTAGAAAATTTCTGGCCAATCCACGTGATCGGTATCGGTGATCCTATCGGTGATCAGCATTCTTTGATATCGGTATCGGTAGCAAAAAACCTGATCGGTGCATCCCTAATTTACACCAGCTGGTAATACGGATGTGCCCCCTCCCGTATGCAGCCCTCTGCAGCCCACCTTCTAGCCGTCACAGATGCCCTTTCTAAAAGTTACTCACAGTGAAAACGTCAGGACTGTCATAAAATAAGGAAAAATAAGTATAATAAAATAATCAACTGAACAAAAACAGCAGTGCCAGTGCTTTCTGTTAAAAGGAAATAATGATTAAACAGCTGATTTCCTTCCTTTTCAGTTCATCAGCACATGCTTACCTGTTATGTCTCATGGGAAGGGCTCGCAAAGAATGGGTAATCGACACTTCCACACCACTGATCCTACAGCACATTTTCACACACACGCACACACACACACACGCACGCACATACACATACACAGCATAAAGCCCCAGCCTTTCCAAAGTTATATGAAAACTGAAAGAATCCCTTACCAGTAAAAAAAATAATCCTCCATGCACCCAGTGTACAGCTCCGACACGCTGCCCCACCTGTCTGTCAGGACGCCAGGTAAACACTCTTGCGCAGCTGGACACAATTGGGGCTTTTAAAGAGCCGGCATAATTACACTATCTGTCACATATATATCAGGTGGGGTCTTGGACTCCTCCCCTCTCCTGTGATTTCTTGTACTGCTACACATCTTCGCCTGCCCTCCCCCTGACACATTTGGTGTGGAGTGTGGTGCCTTGGTCTGCCTGGGTGTTTGCGGCTCGGCCGGCTTGGGGGGTGGGAGGCTGTGGGTGGGCCTGTGGGCTTACCGCTGATATCTTCCGGGACTCTGCCGGCTGCTGGTTGTGGCTTCCCGGGGCAATCCTCTGCATCTCTACAAGGGGGGCTAGGGCTTTTCCTCTGGGGCAGCTCCTGGAACTCTGGGGCTTGGAGCTCCCTCCATCTTCTACACATCTTTGGGGGCAGATCTGTGGCCCTTCACACTCTATTGGATGGTCCTATAGAGAAACCTTACATATACAAGCGTGTGTACACACACAGGTGCTCACATAAGTATGAACTTGGGCATTTTCAATACATGTCTTAAGGCTGTGGTTGGCACTAAATGCACTGTGATTTACTATCGTGTGATTTTTCAGTAAAACTGTTTTTGAGCAATGTTGATGTTGTGCATCCCCTTTTTTGTTTGTTTTTCTCTTTCTGCAGGTCTTGAAGCAGATTGATTATCCCCCCCCAAAAAAAGTTTTAAGTATCAGGCATGGCATTAAAGCAGTCACTTTTATGCTCCACCTAAGAGTAAATCTGTAAGGCATTCAGACATAATTTCTCACAGCCAGACAGGACGGGGGTGGGGTGAAGATACTCCTTCACATTGACAGGAGTGTTGAAGTGGCTTAGGCACCTGGTTAGGATGCGTCCTGGATGCCACCCTGGTGAGATTTCCTGGGCACCAGGACACCCAAAGGAAGGCCCAGGACATGCTGGAGTAATTATGTTTCTTGGCTGGCCAGGGAATGCCTTGGGATCCCTCAGGAAAAGCTGACCCAAGAGGCTGGGGAAAGGGAACTCTGGGCCTCTCTGCTTAGGCTGTTGCCCCAGTGACCTGACCCCAGATAAGCAGATGAAAATGGATGGATGAAATCACTTGAAACACGACTTTTGCATCTTTGGCCGTGCCTGCATAACGAAGGGCTGGATGGTAGTGAGCCATGAGGAGGCACAGGGTGTACTTTTAGAATTAAATAGCACTTAATACATTTATTAGCTGATTACTTTACACCCACATATGGAGAGGCAAGCTCTTGCTGTAGGAAAACCCCTTTACAGTCTCATTTATCAGGGTTGCACTAGAAAAAATTCAAAATAAAAACATCACAGAGAAATCAGACGTTCCAACAATTACTTTAGTTTTATTGGTATTTGTACAGCACTTTAACACTGCTCTGGTGAAGTTACCAGAATAATTATCCATACCTACTCTGTGATTTTTCCACATGGACATAAATTCTGTTGTGGAAGACCTGAATACAGTTGACAAAAAGACAATGAGGAAGGTCTTGTCCTGTACACAAACATCCCTTCACCTGTAATCTGTTCAGCCTCACCAAGAACGGAGGGAAACTCAATGCCTGCTGCAAAATTTTACCTCCTCCTTCCACTCAGTGGACCTCCTTTTACAACACAAGAACAAGTTCTTGTTGATATAGGTAGCAGCTAATGTTTTATTAACAGGTATGAACCAAAAAAACCCTAAAAATAAAAATTATTTGTACAGCTACTAAAATGAGAATGAAGCATCTGGCTTTGATGCCTCTACACCAGATTAAAGTGCTAGAAGCAACCTACCAATCCACACACACACACAGTGCTCAGCATTAATAAGTACACCCCACTACATTTGTCAGAAAACCTTTAGATTTCTTTTGGAATAAACCTTTTCTATGAGATACCGTAATACAAAATACTCCCACAAATGTGGGCCATTGACACGCAAAAAAGTCATTTTCCTAACAAATTCATTCAAGCCATGTTGCAAAAGTGAGTACACCCCATAGTCTTAGGGGGAAAGCCACACTTTAGACTATAAAATTTGGTAACACTTTATGAAAATGCTTTGTTATTAAACATTTATAAGTGTATTGATAGAAAAATTATTTATAAAGCTATACTAACATTTACAAATAAAAAAGTTAATAAATAAATATAAAGTGTTTAGTAAATCATTAATAAATCATTTACAAGTTATTAGGTAATATTTAAAATTCATTTTTAGAGGCTGTGATTACGTTTACACATTTTTAAACAATAACTAAACATTTACAAACACTCATTCCCCCATTTGGTAAATGGTTTATAGACTTTCTAAAGTCACAATCACCATTGATTATATGCAAGATATAATCATTTATAAATGCATTAGTGATTTATAAATAATTACCTAAATGATCTTGTCAATTTGTCAATTGATTTTGAACATAAAATCATTTAAATATTGTCCAAAAAAAAAAAAAATAAAATAAATCCACACAATTATAAACCCTTTTCAGGTTATTTTCTTTAAGTATTGTTTGGAATAAAAGAGGGTAGAGCTAAGACTGAAACTAATATTTGAATAATTAAACAACAATTTTTGATGTTTCGTTTTAATGTAACACTTCTAGGTTATACGGTCTCCTCTTGGTGTGACTTTCTGGTTCCATGACGGAAACGGGAAGCACGCTTGTTCTGCCGCTCAAAAAGATATAGTCAGCATAAGCAACAAAGGCTGGGGAAGTAAGTATAACACCCAGAAAGAAATGCCAAAATGTTACCAAAGTGTTAAAATATTTCAAACCGACAGACAAGACCGCTAACTTAGTGCTAAGCTAGCATTGTATATAGTACATATATATTGTATATTGTACATATATAGGCTCTTTGGAAAAGTGTTTGAGGTAATAGGTCCATGTTACCAAAATGATCGACCTCTCCCTAACGACTGGTGTGTTTCCAAATGCTTTTAAAAATGCCTTTACTGAGCCATTACAGGCTTAGACCCAACTGACCTCTGCTACTATAGGTCTATTTCCAAGCTTACGTTTCTTTCTAAGATTCTTGAGAAGGTGGTCTATGAACAACTGTCTACTTTCTTGAACCATAGTAGCATCCTTGAGCCATTTCAGTCAGTTTTCCATAAATACAATTCTACGGAAACAGCTTTACTGAAAGTGTCCAGTGACATTATGATGGTTGCCGATTGCGGAAAATGCATTGTTCTGGCTCTCTTGGATCTCTCTTCAGCCTTCAATACAGTTGATCATCAGTTTCTCCGATGAGACTGAAGGATCAAATAGGACTGTCAGGGACAGTTTTTCAGTGGTTCTTTTATTTATCAGAAAGTAGTTTCAGTGTTACAGCAAACCAAATGAGGTCAGAAGCGGCAGATTTGTTGCGTGGAGTGCCCCGGGGCTCTGTCCTGGGTCCAGTTCTATTCTTGCTGTATTTGACCCCTTTGGGTAAGATCATTAAAAAGGTTCAGTGACATTTCTTTCCACCTATTTGCAAATGGCATTATATTGTTCTTTTAGCAGTCTGAGCTGAGCAAATTAAATTCATCGCTCCATTGTTTAGTGGAGTTACAGAATTGGCTTACTTAAAAGCTGCAGCTAAATGCTAACAATACAGAAACTCTGGTTGTTGTCCCTGTTGATTCTATCCTGGGGATTAAACAGTTCCTGGGTGATTTAGGACAGTTCTGTGAAGCCCAGCCTTAGAAACTTAGGGGTCAGCTTCGACAGTGAAAAGTCATTTGTGCAGCACTGTAAGCGGCTAACGGTAAACTGCTTTTTGCAACTCAGGAATATCTCTAAATTTAAAACCATGGTGTCAAGAAAGGATTTGGAGCTCCTCAATCATGCTTTTGTTTCATACCTGAATGCTGGGATGGGGCTCACGGATATCCGGATGGGCTACTAGCCACACTGGAGATGCTATTCGAGTACCAAGCCTCCAAATACTCTACCTCCAGATCCCACATGGCTCTATTCACCTCACTTCTCTCGCACCCAGGCGTGGGCCGCTGCCTTGTACTTCACCAAATCACCAGCCTGTAATGACTATCTGGCCCTTGTCTCAGAAATCAGGAAGACCTTCGTTCCCCACAGTAGTGAGGTTGGTGCAAAGACCCAACTACTGAAGCTCCAACAGCGGGAGCGCTCATTCTGCCAGTACACGTCCAAGTTCAGAACCCTGGCAGCTAAAGTGAAATGGAGACGCCACTCTAAGATTGGTTTTCATGGAGAGACTGGCACCATAGATGTGCAGCACTTTGGTCGTCTGCCATGCCATTTTTAAAGAACAAGTCACCCCAAATAAACATTTTTTTGCTGATAAACTAAATAAACGAGTATCGTATCGTGCTGCAGACACATGTAGTCAATAATTTGGTACTTCAGTGCATCTTAGTTAAAATTTAAATATTCTGCCTAAAACTGGCAGTGTTGTGCCGTTGTCAGGTAAAAACTCTGCACTGTATTTTAATTTAAATCTGCCACCGCTATTGGCTAAGAGGTATGCTATGATGTAAACTGGAACATTATGATGTCACAATGCTGTCGTGAGCCTGTGTGTGTGTGTATTTGTTAGCAGCTCCGCCTTCCTGGTCTGCCAGACAACAGCATTTGTTGCATTTTTCAAACATGAAGTGAGAGTGGAGTTTGACTCTGGTAGGGGTTGACTTGCTCTTTAAATATGCTTTATAAATAAAGTTGGTATGGTGTGGGAGGAAATGGTGGGATGCGAGGCCCTCTCAACCCTGGACAAAGCCATATAGATCTAGCTCTACAGAACGATGAGCGAGTCCTGCTACGACATTGATGCAATGCCTGGATTAAGGCATGGGCTGCCATCACTAGGACTAATGCCCAGTACGCTCAGCAATACCCCCAACGTCACCATCCTGGGCCAATCTACCACCCCTGACAAGGACTGGCTTTCTACCACTCACCTCCGCCTTCTGGCCAGTTCCAGGAAATTGGCATCCCGCTTCCTTGGTCCCTACTCCTTCAAACACGTCTTCAACCCCATCATGTCGTCTGCGCCTGCTAGCTACCATCCGAATCCATCAGGTGTTCCACGTCTCACAGTACAAGCCCCAAGACACCTCACCTCTCGTGGCTTATGCCTGTGAAAGGTGCTATACAAATGAAGCTCACTCACACACACCACGCACTCGCACACACACACATTACCTAATACATTGTAAATGTTCTGAGAGGCATCCAGGCCATCCACAGAAATTAACCTCTCAACAGGAGAGTCTTCACAAAGCATGGATTGAATGGATTTGTTAGGAAAATAAACATTTTGTGTGTGCAAATTAACAAATCTTGTTTGTAACCAATGGCCCATATTTGTGGGAGTATTTTGTAGAATGGTATCTCATAGAAATGTTGATTCTGAAAAGTTTTCTGACAAACGTAGTGGGGTGTATGTATGTGTATATATGCAAGTATGTATGTGTGTGTGTATATATATATATATATATATATATATATATATGTACACACACACACACACACACACGCACACACACACACACACACACACACACACACACACACACACACACACACACACACACACACACACACACACACACACATTTTTTCAACGGACCTGTTTTAACATAAATTTACAGGGTAATATACATTATATTGTAACAGCTGAAAACTCAGCACAAATATATCACTGTCACATTCAACAGCAACATATATATGATTATATAAACCATATATAATCATATACTGATATATAATTGTCATATATGCATGTGAAACAGTTAATCACATCTCAGGCTTTTCAAATAATACCCAGAGAAGCAATTGTATATCATTACGTAAAAGCTTTACAAGTTCTCCCCCTTGAAAGAGTGACAGGCGACAGCCAAAAAGCCACAACCTGCGGATTATTTGAGGTCACAGAACAAGTTATTTGCATATTCCACAAATCTATTGCAACACATTACTGTCTATGAAGAGTACAGCCAGTGTCCAAATGGGAGGAGCTGCTGTTAGCTGGATTCACAGATAAACTCACTGAACAGAACGATACAACAATGGGTGGTCTGGTTATAGTGAGGTGTTTTCAGATGGTGTACTATGATGGTGAACAACAGGACTACAACACACAATACTAAAGGTACGCCTTAGAGGACAACCCAGATCAAGACTGTAAAGATGAACCCCTTCTTCGTTATACACTACACACAGATTACTCCCTTTTCTCCCAGGAGCTGCCATCGTGTCCTGCTGCGGATGTGTTTGTATGTTCTCCACAGATCAGCAGTGTTATTGTGACACTCCATGATCAGGAATAATGGAATGTGTCATGGCTGACAGAACAGCAGGTAACACTCTACTGATTGAAAGGGGGAGGGGGGTTCCTTTAGCCCTTTGATGCATGAATTATGAAATCTTCAACCATGATTTTTTTAACCCTCCCACTGTCCTAATGGGCGTGACCCCGTGAGGAAAGTTGACCATTGAGCAGGGTTATCCCTTGGGTCCATGTGGCAGGGGTGAGGAGTGAACACCACCTCACCCCTGCCACATGGACCTCACAAGGGATAAACCATCAATCCTGATCAATGGTCAACTTTCCTCGCGGGGTCACACCCATTAGGACAGTGGGAGGGTTAAACAATTTTTATCATTCATCTTTAGGTGTGAATGAAACAAATTTCAACAAATATCTTTTGTAACATTTAATTTACAAAAAAATTATTACATGTCCACCTCTGTGGACAGTGTGCATTCTGAACATGAAATATGTTGGCTTGACTTACTGAAGTCCAAATGGAGAGGCTCAAATGCAATAATGTCTTCAACAGCTGTGCTTAATAGCAAAAAAAAAAAACTATTTTGAGTACCTGTCCACTGTAGTGACCATTATGCATCAAAGGGTTAATTTCTTTAAAGTTCTGATGTACTATCAGGACCTGTAGGGAGAGTAGTCCCAAACCTCAGCCATCTTCAGAGAAGAGCTCTGAGCCCCAGTGGGCCCCGTCTCTCACTCGAGTGACCCCCCAAACACACACACTGCAAAGACACTGCACAAGGCTGGAACAAGATACACAGAAAGATCCTTTTTCACAATGAGAAAACAAAGATCTGTAATAACTGCACTAGTAAGACACAACATGTATCCAATAGCTGACTTCCAGATGGAAGGCCATGTGATGTGCAGTTAGGTTTGAGAAGTTTCCATGGTCTTTGCCCTGTACTGACAAGCCTTGTTATTCAAAAGCCCATACTTCTATATCTTGCACATAGAAATCCTCCTTTTTTGAAAGCATGGGGTTTCCAAATGTTTTACATGAGTGGCTTCGACCATGATAAAGGTCTCCATCCAGCCAAAGGCCAAACTCACCGCTGGAAGAGAGGAAACAGAATTTAGATTAGACACAAATTAGGGAATTAGGTCCTCTTGAACTATAGTTTGTTCACGTGATCCCATAATGTGTGTATTTTTACTCACCTTCCTCCACCAAAAGCTAAGGAGTCCATATCTCCTTTAATGAAAAACATGTTGTCGCCTGTCCATTTGAACACCTGTGGAGAACAAAAAATAACTCTCCTGCATTGCTGTCACCGTCGTAGTCAGCTCGGCAGTAGCCTGTTTAATAGACACGATATCTGTCGCGACATTCTGGAGCATTTCACTCATTTTCGATATTTCTGCAAAAAGTCTTTCCAGGCTGACTGTCGCAGTCGTGGATGCTGGGTTTTCTCCCGTATCGCTGTCGTCTTCGTGGACCTGGCCTTCCGGGTACACGCTCGTGACGAGCTTTTAAAATATTTCGACAACGTCGACATAGCTTTGTAATCTTTTCAGACTAAATATCAAACATACTCAGACTCAGTACTCCCAAGGAACAATATTCCACCAGTATAGTTGCGTGTTTCAGCTAAAATCCTGTTAGTAGCATGTGCGGGGAACAGAGCTCCCTAGCTTGCGGCCATCTTGGAAGCTCTACCCGCGTGACTCCAAGTTTTGCTTTTTGAACAAAATCAGCTGTGACAGCAAACTGGAGAGCTGCAGCACTCTGTGAGCTTTTCTCAGCTGGACCTCAGATCATCCGAGACTGCGCGGGGACTGTGAAGGACTTCTATGATGGACTGCACAGTTAACTGATTTCCTTAGCGGTGAATACGTCACACCGTTCGTAGCTCTGATTGGTCCTAGTGCTGTCTAAATGCGTGAGGAGACAACCACAGGTTCTACCCCACAACAATGGGTCATAATCAGACTATATATTTACATGTTGCAAGGCTAGATCCATGTATCATAAACTCAAATAATCTTGTTGTCATTTATTCTTGAAAAACAGTGTTGTGGAGAAATATGAACAGTGCTTTACCTCAAACTCAGGATTGAACGTGAAGAGGAAGGTTTCTCCCGTGCCATAGAAGCCATCACTGACTTTAAAGGGCTCAGAAGCCAGAGCACCAAACACCTGTAGACACAAACAGAGAGGGCAATAAGGAAAGCTGATGCTGGAGGCTGATCAGCATTTCGGTTTTCTAAAACCTGGCCGTCGCTGTCCTTAATAACAAGGAGGATGGGGGTGTCCTGGCCCTGCATGGCTCTATACAGAGTCTTAATGCTCATGCCATGCTTTGATGTGCCAAAGGCTAGTGTCCAGGGATATCCAATAGTCCGTGGTGGAAGATGTCCCGCAAGCTGTTGAGAGAGAAAAAAAAAAGAATAAATTGAAACTCGGAAAGGCCACAGTCTGCATTGCTCCATTACATCTGCAGTGACATTTTAACATGGTCTAATGTTAAACCCTCCCACTGTCTTACCGGGTGACCCCTCCAGGAAAGGTTACCATTGAGCTGGGTTGACGGTTTTTCCCTTGAGGTCCACGTGGAAGGGGTGACGAGTGAGCACCACCTCACCCCTGCCACGTGGAGGGGTGGGAGGGTTAAATAACATTAAGTGACCTTGAAACGTAGAGACTGGCCCCAAGAGAAGGAGGCCCAGACCTTCCTAAGAGTGGCTTACCCTACTGCACACAGACTGGAGAATTCATTCTATTTGACAGACAGAGATGCAGACATATACAATACAATTCAATTCAAAGAAACTTTATTAATCCCAGAGGGAAATTTAACAGACAGACAGAAAGACACACACACACCTCATTAACTCATTCACTGCCATTGACAACTAAAGTCGCCATTTTAGATCCAACCGTTCACTGCCAATGACGACTAAAGTCGTCATTTGCATTTTTTTTTTACTGTTTGAGCATTGGAACGAGCCCCCGCGCTGAGAGAACAAACATCTCAGCCCTGAAGCCGATCTTCATCCGCATATGTCACAGATCACATGATCAGGAAGCAGACCATCCATGTGTTTGGAGATCGTTTTGGGCCGTTCCTGTAAAAAAAGTGAGGCGCGAACCGGAAAAGCGTCTGCCGATCACAATTTGACAACGGATTATGAAAGAACAGATAACGCTCGAAACACACGGCTTCTTCCTGATGTAAGAGGCGAGTCTCCTCTTTGTTTAGGTTGTTTTGGCATCGACATCATGCTAGCGCGCAACGTTCTGTGACTCTTAAAAAACAGTAAAAACGGTGAGAAACGCTGGCAGCGAAGGCTGTTAGCGATCAGGAAACGGCTGGCAGTGAATGAGTTAAAAGTAAGTGGCAATGTTTTGTTCACTCTGCTGTGACTCATCAGTCCCTTTGCTGTTTTATCATCGGCTAAGCCAGGGGGCAGTTCCAGCCCATTTGTCGAACACACTCTTTTAACACGGCCCCCACACACACATACACACACTAATCTACCCTGCCCCACCCCAACCGCAAGACTGTGCTTGAGCGGGGGTGCTCGGTAGAGCTGAGGAAAATAATCTAATAATTGATGCATTAAGATGCGGACATAAACAATTATGAATTTTTGAAGAAACACACCATACTTGATTGTAGCAGCTAGCTGCTAGCATTAGTCACTAGCTTGCTCCGTCTCTAAGCAGTAATTACATGTATTCTCACATGTCTGCTCAAACAGGGAACCTCTGGGTCAATGTTCAGCTCTAAACTTTGCATTTGGCTTTGTGGTTTGTATTATTTGGAGACATTTGTGTGTTTAGCGAGCGTTTAAACCATGGCTGCCGCTGACTGGAGCTTTGTTTACGCAAAACACCTCCCCCACATAGTTATTGAGAAACATCTACGGAGAGCAGTGAGGCTCATATATCGGGAAGTGTAATCCTGACTAGAGGATGCATGAGATTGGGATGCATCATGAATTTAGCTGAACATAATAGATTGTTTCTTTTGACAAGAAATAATTACTGGACGATGTGCTCCTGGGACATTGGGAAAAGTATCTCAAGCTCTCAACTGTGATATGAGAGAGAGAGAGAGAGAGACTTATTCTTATACAACTTATCTAAAAAACAAAATAAAAAAATTAAGAAGCATATCTATATAAAAATAACAATAATACAGAGAACAAATAGATTTAACATACTCAACAATAAAATTCTTGTATCATTCTATTTAATCCAGCTCATCATCATAATTATCCAATAGATGTTTTTAGTAGCTCTTCTTAAATTGATTTACCTTTACGCATTTTTTCAAATCTTCACTTAAATTGTTCTATAATACAACCCCACATAGTGTTGTACACATACTCCTCTTTGTTGTCCGAACTCTGTTTTTTGAAGTTTAATACCCCTCTTAAATTGTACCCATCGTCTTTATCATTAAACATTTTCTGTATATTACATGGAAGTAATTAATTGCTTGCCTTAAACACGATTACTGCAGTTTTAAACTTTATCAGATCAATACATTTTAACACTTGTAATTCTAAAAACAGTTTTGTTGTTTGTTCCCTATATCCCACATTATATACTATCCTTATTGCTCGTTTTTGCAGTATGGATAATGATTGCATTTTTCATCGCTAATTGAGGAGAATAAGAATAATCTAAAATTTCTTTTCAGTACAGTTGCCAAACTTGCACAGAATCATACCTCTGAACCATCTATTCCCTTAGCCCTCAGCAGTAACATCTTTATGGGATTTTTCACAAGTAAAATAAATTATATTAGAAACAAAATCATTAGTATCCTCCCTAATGCGATTTCTTCTTCCTCAGTAAGTGAGGCAGCATCAGAGGTAACTGTAGAACCTCATCTGTGTTTGAACTGTTTTGATCCAGTTGAGTTTCAGAGTTATCAAAAATATTAGCTTCATCTAAACTTTCAACTTGCATTTTAGATCCAATCCCAACCAAATTATTTAACTAAATCACTGCCAGTGACGACTAAAGTCGTCATTTGAGATCCAACCGTTCACTGCCAATGACGACTAAAGTCATCATTTGCATTTTTTTTTACTGTTTGAGCATCGTAACAAGCCCCAGCGCTGAGAGAACAAACATCTCAGTCCTGAAGCCGATCTTCATCCGCATATGTCACGTGATCAGGAAGCAGACCATCCATGTGTTAGGAGATCATTTTGGGCCGTTCCTGTAAAAAAGGTGAGGCACGAACCAGAAAAGCGTCTGCCGATCACAATTCGACAACGGATTATGAAAGAACGGATTACGCTCGAAACACGCAGATTCTTCCTGATGTAAGAGGTGAGTCTCCTCTTTGTTTTGGTTGTTTTGGCGTCGACATCATCCTAGCGAGCAACGTTCTGTGACTCTTAAAAAAACAGTAAAAACGGTGAGAAACACTGGCAGCAAAGCCAGTTACCGATCAGGAAACGGCTGGCAGTGAATGAGTTAAAGATGCATTTCCTTTGGTTACTGCCTCATTCAAGATATAATCAATCTATCCTTACTAAATGAATACGTACCACAGGATATTAAGGTTGCTGTAATCAAACCTTTACTTAAGAAGCCTTCTCTGGATCCAGATGACCCAATGAATTATAAACCAATATGTAACCTTCCATTCCAAGAGTCTCAGCTTCAGCCAGGACAAAACTGTCCAGTGTTTCTTCAGGTAGACACACTACACTCTCAGATGTGTCTAAAACCACTTTACATTGAGAGGATAAAATGTTACATCTAATGGTGCCTACCTTCCCTCTGAAGTGGGCTGCAAACTCCTCACAAAGAGTGTTTGAGGGGGTTTTCTGAGTTGAGTTTTGATTGGAGTTGAGAATATTATTGATTGTGGAGAAAATAATTTTAAGGTTATTTTTATTGTCTGAGAGGATTTTGGAAAAATATGCATTTCTTGAATTTCTTATAGCATTATTATATGTTTTAAGCAGTCCCAAATATATCTGATGATTTATTGTGAATTTGTTTTTCCTCCATCTTCTCTCCACCACTGCAGTTTCTCTTTAGTTTTCTTAGGTTTTCATTTCCCCAAGGTGATGTTTGATTTGACTGTATTTTTTTTGGTTTTGAGTGGAGCAAGCAAGTTAAGAGCTGACTCTAGTCTTCTGTTAAAATCATTGATAATGGCATCACAAGGGGCGGAGACGTTACTTGGAGGGATGTTGTTAAAAGCTTCAAGAAAACCAGCAGCCACTTCAGGGGTTAGATGACGGTTCCTTACAGTTCTCACAGAGGATAATGCTGGTGATGTTAAAAAATACGCAATAGTGATCGGACACTGCCAAGTCGACAACAGAGGGCACACAAGTGGACAGGCCATACGTGATGACCAAGTCCAGGATGTGTCCTCTGTTGTGAGTTGGCTGCGTGACATGTTGGGTAAAATCCATATAATTCAAGATGTTTAAAAAATCTGTGACTAAAGGGTCTAAAAGGTTATCCACGTGCAGATTAAAATCTCCAGGTAAAATAATCCTATCAAAGGAGTTGTGTAAAATTGATAAAAACTCTGAAAACTCTTGAATAAAAGGTGCACTCTGTCTAGGAGGCCTGTAAACAGTGACACATAAAATCTGAGGAATGTCAAAAGCGGCTGCAATGTATTCAAAAGTGTTAAAATGATCAAATAAAACAGGTTTTGCTAAAAGTGTTGATGAACTTATAAAAACAGTCCCGCCTCCCCTTTTCCCATTCCTCATTGAAAAATTGAAATTAAAATTGGATGGGGAGGCCTCTGTGAGAACAACAGAGGCATCTGAACTCAGCCATGTTTCAGTTAAAAATAAACACTGAAGATTAAAATCTAAAATCAGGTCATTTATAATAAAAGTTTTGTTCAGCAGAGAGCGAACATCAAAAAGAGCCATATTAACAGATGCTGGAGGTAGAGTGGCTGTGTAATTTACTGAACTTGAGGTTTTGGTAGCTTTTTAAGGTTATTAAAGTTTGCTAGATTTATGTTTGATTTGTCGCTCTCTGCTGATAATGACAGGTATGTGTTTGGTTTGGCAGGGTCCAAGTCTGATATGTGAGTTACTGTTAAAATCAATGCTGTAGGTGCTGCAGGGGTGGGGGTGGGGGGTGGAGGAGTGGGAGTGGCAGAGGTCAGTGTGGGATGCAGGGGGGGACGTGGACAAGCCAGGCTCATCCCCAGGGTACGTGTGCCATGTCTGTTGAGGTGGAGTCCATCAGCGCCAAACAGATCCCTCCTGCCCCAGAAAATGTTAAAATTGTCTAAAAAACCAATGCTGTTCAGTGCTGTAATGGAGGAGAGCCAGGTGTTCAAGGATAAGAGCCTGCTAGAACGTCAAATTCCTCTGCCAAAGGTAGAAATTCAAGTTGTGCTCTACTAGCCAATAGCGAATTAATCAAGTACACAAGAACAAACTTGAGTATTGAGACGGCCCTGGTATGTCAGTAAGTTTACACAACAACAAAATAGATTACAGTATGTGACAATAACTATGACAACTGTTTTAATTATAATGAAGCATCATATCATACACAGAACAACACTGCATTCAGAAACAGAAGGAGAGAAACAAGCTGTATCCAGAAACATTCTAGTAGGAATGAATTCCCTAATAATTAATGTTGTTGAGCTTTCTAAGGGACATATCAAACTCCAACAGCTGTTTAACATGTACATGAAAGATGTAGCTGTACCTTTTCTATCTGGTTGACCTCCAGGAGTTCACTCGGTTCTCTGAGGTTGGGTTTGAACGTTTCGGGCTCCAACTCAGCTTTGGTGGATGTGCCGTGCTTCAAGTTCACCTCGTCTTTGGTGGTAATCTAAAAAAGCAAATACTGTCCTTGGGATTCAGAATAACTGAGGAGCAAATTCCAGAAAGCCCTGACACCAGATGGGTTCAGTTAAAGCTACGGTCTACAGGTTTTTAACAGCTCTACTCAAAGAAACTCTAAAGATTGATGTAGATAACACAACTATAAAAAGAAGTAAGAGTTCAGGTATAACATGAGAAGCGAGGCATACATGACTCATCAGCAGCAACAGAAACTCAAAAAGTTTCACTCCTTCAGGGGTTTTGATCTTATTTGTCCTGCCAATATTTATAATTGTAGTGTTTACTAGCTGTGACAATCCAGCAATCTGACGAGGATAGCTGATTATCTGATAATTAGGATTGGTTTTTGCACAACTTGAATTGCAAGGAGAGATGCTGAACAGGAAATGAGCCCAATGAATAATTTGCATTCTGGTGTTTGACATTCTCTCTGACCTACGGACTGTTGTTGACAATTTATCTTTCCTGTTAAGACCGACTGTGGAGCACTTTGCCACTGGTGGCAAGGAGGCTCTGGTGTTTCAGTCCTCATTCAAATGGCGCCTACCTGCATTGTCCTTGGGACATCTTTCCTCTTGTAAGGAGGGTCTTACTCTACCATCTCACTAACACACAATATCTTTTAGTCAGGCTTTGTGTGGAACAGAATTCCAACTCTGGGGAAGTACTTCTATGTGTCCATGGTACCACTTACCACCAACAACCCAGGGGACTGCAATGGTCAATGTCTACAAGTCTAAAGCCCTTTTTACAAGACACATAGTAACACATAGAACATTGGCATAATATTACCACAACAGTGTGTCTTACAAACGCGCCATGCCGCCATGCCATTGCACAAATTTTGTGGCATTCGCTATACCTCGCTTGGTAGTAATATTGCAGTAATTGCCTGTCTTATAAACAGCAATTGCGCCTTGGCGCAACAAAGGGAGGTGTCACGATGATGTGAGAAGTTACTAACAAGCTCTGGCCAGCAGCTATATTGAAAATGAAAGTATACACGGGCAGTAAGTATTGGTTTTTGAACAAAATCATCTGAGATGGCAAACTGGAGTACTGCAGCACTCCATGAGCGTCTCTCCGTTAGAGTTGGAAGTCAGATCACCAGAGACTGCAAATGGACTGTGGAGGGCAGACACCTTTAGGAGTGGCTTGTCCAATAAAGATAATGATCGCAACATGAAGCAAGTTATGTCCAAGATAAACAGAAGTCTGCTGCAGCGCAGGGACCATCCCCATACCTCCTTTATGCCGCCATCGCCTAATCTTTTATAAAAAGGACACGATTGCCCCACATTACCACCACAGTCTGAGCACTTATAAAAAACCCAAGGCTCCCTGATAACACAACGCCATTGTGGCTATTTGACGGCATTGTTTAGTAAAAACGGCTTAAGAGGGAATGTCTGACACATGGAGATAAGGCACCTATCACGTGGAAACCTCATTACTCCAAACAAGACAAAATTATCTGTGGTGAAGTGATAAAACAGTTCTCACTCAGATGCTGTTTTCCAGTTGATCTGGTCTTGCAAGTCTGAATGTGAGTTTTGAGCTGAAACTACTTAGATGATTATTTAAAGCAGTCAGTATTTTATTATAGTTTGAAATTTCAGCAGCAACGAAAGCCTGAAAAAGGCATTCTAAAGAAGACTGTGTTGATGCAGACTGAATAGAGGGGTAAACGGGACTTATCAGGGCACCTGAAGTCGTTTGCAGAGTGAGCGCAGATCTTCACTGTTTAGCGCATCGATCCGACGGTGGTACTCCGTCAGAGACACTACCTGGCAGTACAAACACAGGAACAAGTGGAACATAAAACTCGGCTGCTTTTATCAGGCCTTGAGAGGAAAGGGTGAGTTTAGAAATTGAACAAAGTAAGCTAGAACTTAAACTCACAAGGAAAACAATACTGGTTTGAATACATGAACAGTGCAATAGGCAGAAGGCCTGTGAAATATAGTTTTGATGAAAGGAGGAATTTAGTCATTTTGCATGTTTGTGTAAAATCTTAAAAGTTACTCTGAAGTAAGCTTATGAAGAAATGATCCGGCACAGAGGAAATAGTCTAGAGAGGGAATGTGACAAGCTCTTTATTACACACGATATATAACACTAAATACAACTAATCCTAATTACTTTCCTAATAACACTAATGGTAAATGACTAAATTCAATATCTAACAGCCAAGCAACTAACACTAAATTATCCACAATACTTAATGCTATGCTAAACAATTGTTAACCTATTAAATGGCATAAACACTTGCTTGCTAATCTAACTTGCTACAAGGTGTGTCCGAGACACTGATGCTTAAAATCCCACAGCACTGCTACATAGCAGCAGATTCAAATTCAGTGTATTGCATAGTCTGAAGCTGAAGAAGGTGCTACACTCAGTTTTAGGCAGAATTGTTACTTTTAAAGGTCCTCTATCAACTCATTCACTGCCATTGATTAATAAAGTTGTTAATTGCAGTTTTTAACAGGGCAGGCTTGGGAATGAGCTTGCGCACCTTGAGAGTAAACATCACGCCTCTAAAGTTGATTTCCACCCATGTGTCACACGTCATGTAATCATGAAGCAGATAATCCACGAATTAGGAGATCAGTTTTGGATGCCACTATGCCTAAAGCAAGGCCTTAACTGGAAAAGCTTCTGCAGCTCACAGCTCAACAACAGATTGTGAAAGAATGGAAAAGGCTAGAAATACGCTAATCCGTCCTGACATAAGAAGTGAGTCTACTCTTTCTTTTGGTAGATTTGGTGTTTACATGGTCATAGAACACAATATTATGTGACTTTTCAGTAAACAAAAAAAGGCTAAAAAATGCTGGCAGTTGGGATTTCTGTTCAGACAACAGCTGGCAGCCAATGAGTTAATGAAAATGGCCAGGTTTTTATCTAGGACGATTAATTATACAGTGTTTGTAAAACACCTCTGACATGTTCAGAATTAATAATTTCAAAACAAAAGTTTGTACTTCAAAATATTACTAACTTAAACCTTACTTGCATGACAAAATTTTAATTATAAAACAGATTGTCACAAAATAACTTAAACAATCCTAAATAATGTCTCTAACAAAATATTAACAGTATTATGGCAATTAATTTGTGTTGGTTCAGCAAATTTTGCGGTTCAATTCACAATTAGATACTCTTCATTTTATAGCTGTGCTTTATCTGACATTTTTAGGCAAGGTGGCAGCAAGCAAAAGCTTTTAATACTGTAAATTCAGTACACAGACTATAATTACGTGAGTGTTATGTGAGTTATCAGTTATGAAATAACTAATAAGCTTTCACACTTTTCATGTTGTAGGCTTGTCATTCACTGATGCCTTTGAGCCAGTGATTAGCATTGAGCATTAGGGTTGGTTGGCTGATGTAAAATAATTCACAGGCAATAATAGTTGGTCCAACAACTGACGATGTGCGATATATTCGTGCAGGCGTAGGTGACGTTTTACTTTTTTGTGGGCGGAGATCTGTAAGCGCAAACAGACTATTTTCTAAATGAAAACACAAAAATACCAAAATGGAAGGACTAATAGCCACGAAGACTGCAACGTCGCCTACTTGGGATTACTTTGGCTTTGAACCGGATGAAAAGGGAAAACCACTGGATGTAACCAAACTAGTTTGCCGCTTGTGCAGACGTACGATGAAAGGAGTCTAACGCGACAAACTTGCATGAGCATTTACGTGTCCACCATCCAGCTGAGAATGCTACACTATCGCCAGGTGCTTCAGCTCCATCAACAATTGGAAAAGTGTATCAGCAGCAGAACACTCAAAGTGCTTTTACTAAAACTACTAAATATGAAAAGTACTGCCCCAGGTGGACACAGTGCAAATTGGCTGTATCGAAATACATCTCAAAGGAAATATCATTTCACAGTGCTGAAAAGGAGTCATTTGTTGAGATGCTGAAAACTTTTGACAAGCAATACGTGCTGCCTGGACGGAAATATTTTTCTAAGACAGCAATACCTGATCACTACGACAAAGTCTATGCAGATATTAGCAAAGAACTACAAGAAGCTAACGATGCCAGCAGATATTTGGTCAGCTTCGAACATGGTGCCTTATATAAGCATCACATCTCACTATGTCAATGATAAAAGTGAGTTAAAAGCAAAATGTCTTGAAACCACCCATGTTCCCGTGGACCACTCGGCTTCAGTGCTGGCCGAGGACTGGGCGTGCATCAATGAGTTGGGGATTACGGTGGAGAAATTAAGCTGCGTCACCACAGACAACGGAGCTAATATTGTGAACGCTAATAGGACCCTTGACTGGCCATGGCTAAATTGTTTTGGACATAATTTAAATTTGGCAGTGCCATTTAAAAAGAAAAGTCAAACACAGACAGAGTCTTTGGTATGTGCCGCTCTATCAAGAGGAACTCGAACTGCCGCAGCATTTAATGTTCACGATACTGTAATAAATAGAATTTTTTTTACACGTAACTGTTTAACAATATCTTTCAGGGTTCCTACATTTTTCCCACTGACAAATTCAAGCACTTTTCAAGCATTTTCAGGGTAAATGTTCCAACTTTTCAAGCACCACACTGTGAAGACAAAACATTACGACTCAAGAAGACGGTTTCAGCTCACTATCATTTGAAATAATTTATTACTGTTATTAATGAGGATTATCCTATCCAATCACTGTATTGGAAATTAGGCCTGATCACATGATTTTAAAGCATTGGAATGAGGTGGAAAAAGTCAGATATAACTCAATAAAGCAACTAACATGACCTTTTAAATTCATCCTCAAATAGGGATTTTCAAATGTAATGACAACGGCATAGTTTTAACCTGTCTGCTTTTAGTTCTAGTCCAGGGTTCGGCAACCTTTTCTCAACAAAGAGCCATTATTACCCATTTCCAAAAGTAAAGGAAACACTGGGAGCCACAGCAGCAGCAGCGTTGTAAGTGTAGGGTGGGCCCACTCACTTGAACTTGGGCCCACCCTAAGACGGATAGCTGCTTGAACCATTCACAACAGGTGACAGCAACCAATACTGTTAGATCATGTATGTACATCAAAGTTATCTTTCAACAGAAGATAATTAATAAAACAATTTGTAGGCTATAAAATTGATCCAGAAGCTGTAGCCCGTCTGTTTCTACAATATTTTGATATATTTCACCCTGTTAGTGTTTTTAATACTAGTTGAGTAGGTGTCGTTTTTTGATGCCTCACACATGCCTCCTTTTAAAACATGTTTAAACTGTTCAGAATACAAATCCAGGCTCTGTCTCATTGGATTGTTGTAATTAAACTTTGTGCCTATTGAATGAAACTTTACATTAAACAATGTTGATAAGGTAAGAAAATGATCCAATTAATTTTTTTTCATCCTTCATTTACAGAGACGGAGATAACAGTGCAGTACGTATGGCTCTGGTGTTAAAGGCTAAATTGTTTCTCTTTGCAACAACCTTAACAAGAAGGCAATACAGTTAAATGGCAGGGTTCGCATCGACCGGATATTTCCCGTATCTGACCGTAAATTTTGAGGGAGAAACCTCAAGACTGTTGGTCATTTTGACAGAATTACCCCGATGCATGCAGATGCGCTGATATTTCAATCATGGAGGTAGCTAAATCAATCAAGAAAAGATTCCCATCAGAACATTTGAGCATTATACTGGATGCTGTGCTCGGCGCAGCTCGCTGTCAGCGTGAACATGAGGTGGACAGCGAGCTGAAGATGTGGAGCGAGGCTCGGAGTGCGTCAGGCACAGGCAGCAACATGCGGGACGATTCCTCTCACTGAAGTGAGTGTTTTCCAAGCCTCGTCTCTCAGAGAGACTTATCACTTAGAAAATGTTTCCTGAATATGAAACTTTGGCTGAATAGCGCTTGTTCCTGTCTCCAATGTGGACACTGCAACACATCCATGAGCCTGTCTGAGAAAAACTCCAGAATCTCATATCCTCTTTAGCTCAGAAAGCACCTATACATTCGATTACGCACAAGCAGGTGACCCGTCAACCCGGTCTCACATGAGACGAGGTTTTTCAGGTTTACACGGAGCAGAAGGACGGAACACGTTTGGGCCATGGGTGAAATATTCATACTAAGTGAAATTATTTAATTATGACATTCTGGACACACTGGTCAGGTTATTTAGACCAGTGCTTCAGGTGCAAAGCGCGCACGCACGCACGCACGCACGCACGCACGCACGCACACACACACACACACACACACACACACACAGTTATGATGCAGAGGGGCAAAATAGTTTTATTTATTTCAGGTCTTGATCCTTTTTGTTTAGATTTTAAAGTATGACAATCTTTACATTTGGCCTACAGATAAAAAAGTGAATGCAGTAAAATAAAATACATTTAAATTAAATATTCATTCATTATTTTACAATCACAGCGAGCCACATCAGATGGTTAGCTTAAAACCAAAGACCCTGCTCTCTCAGTTCACTGCAGCAACTCGGACAAAAACATGAAACCAGCTGACAATGTCTGCACAAAATACACTAAAAAACAAAGAGAAACTGTCTACGGACAGAAATATACAGCCAAGATAGAAGTATATTAATCACACTAGATGACTGTGTGTTTGCAAATGTTGGTTTTCGCAGTATCCTGGAACTGCTTTCTCATCACTATTTTACACACCCAGCACTACAGGTGTTGTCCACGGAAGAGCAAGCCTGGCAGCCACAATGTGGTTGTCGTCATGGTGATGCTTATTGCTCAACACAACCACACACTGTTAAAACAATTACAATTATGAGCAATGGGGCTACTACCAAACATATTTGTAATATTAACACGATTCTCCGGAATCAGGGCAACAACCTAAGTCGAGAGGCCCAAACTTCCCTCTCCCCAGCAACTGGGGTCAGCTCTTCTGGGGTAATCCCAAGGCGTTCCCTGGCCCGGTAAGAGACATAGTCCCTCCAATATGTCCTGGGTCTCCCTTTAGGCCTCCAACCGGTTGGATGTGCCCGGAAAACCTCATCAGGGAGGCATCCTACTCACATGGCCGAGCCACCTCAACTGGCTCCTCTCGATGTTGAAGTGCAGAGGACATACTCCGACCCCCTGCCAGATGACCGAGCTTCTCACCCTATCCCAGCTACCCTGCAGTGAAAACTCATTTCGGCTACTTGTATCTGCGATTGCATTCTTTTGGTCACTACCCAAAGCTCATGACGACATGTGAGGGTAGGAAGGTAGATCGATCAGTAAATCGAGAGCTTCCCTTTCTGGCTCAGCTCTCTTTTCACCACAACAGAGCAGTATCCTGGTTTTACTTAGCTTGTGGATCAGTCCACTGACAAACAAATCCACTTTGTTTCCTATATTCGCATTAAAATCCAAAGCACAGCCACTATCATGTCACTTTCTTCCTACAACTATTTTAATTGTTTCTTTAATCACAAGGTTGTAAACCATCACATTTGATTTCAGTAGATCACATCCACCAAGCACAAATCTGTACGAGGTGTACAAAAACACTAATATGTATTCTTAACTTTTACTTCCACATTTTGATCATCTGCATGAAACAAATGAAACAGGAGAAACCCACATCAGTGTCACTTGTCTTTGGGGGGTGTTTTAAAACCAAAGAAGCATTAACAAATAGTGATGCCATTTGTCATTCAGCAAAAGGAAGTTGACAAATGCTGACCAACACTAGCGACATTTACACAAAAAAATGAAAAAAGCAAAACAGGGGCTCAGAAGGATTTAAATATTACACAAACATGCAAAAATATTTGATTAGAAGAAGTTCAGAAAATCACATTTCCAAGCAAAGCAAGTGGGACACATCTCACATAACTTGCAGTGTAATAGAAAGTTGACGCAAAGATTTACACTTAAATTAAAACTATGCACTGGTGAAACAAAGGTGAAAAATACAGATGCAGAATACAAAACGAAAGCTGGCACATAAGATGGTACACAAATAAGATCTACACAACACACCCACAAAATGTACTACATAATTAATGTAAATTAGTTATTTAGCATTTGTACTGATGATTTTAACAACTTGTGGCACAATACTTGTGTTAACACAAGGTATGGATTAAACCACAGTCATGGACTGACTTTAATCCATTTCAAAGAGGTTTTATACAACACAGAAGATGCACCTTTAACCAGAGAGCTCTCTCCCCTTGGAACTTACCTCCCATTCCTTGACATTGAACTCAGTGATGGGCTCATTGTCAGACGTTTCCGACAACACATTCTTTTTGACGACCCTGAATCCCAGCTCCTGTCCCATTCCTCTGACCCCCTCGCCATACATGTCTGGGCTCCACTGCTTAAAGAATACATACAGGTGACCTGACCTGGGGAGGAAATAAACAACAAATGTTAAATCTATTTTAAAAATGATATTGAGGCATTAGACATAATATTAAGAGTTAATGTTGACTGTTGAGTGTGAAGTCATTATGCATCAGGAAAAGGAGATGAACCCGCCTGTGAATTGAAACTTCATCATTAGAAGAATAATATCTGACAGTGTTATTGGCTCAAACAACAGAAAACTAAGATGAAAATTATAAAGCACAACTCAATAAAATTCATAGTAGGGTAATTCAAAGTGTCCCCCATGGGCCATTTGCAGCCCTCAACCTGATTTTATGCAGCTCTCCACCAAGACTCAACACTGGTTCTGACCTACCAGCACAGGCTGTTCTACTGGAAACACTTTAAAATGATTTATGTTCAGATTTTTATCAATATGAGGTCTATTCAAAGTATCAATATTTTTTAATGTTTTGGTATGTAAGTTGAAATTGTTAAGGTAACTAAATCCTTAAATTTGACTTTCTGACAGACGGACAAACAGAACTAACTCTGAAAAAGACATAACCTGTTGAAACGTCAGTTCTGTTTGTTTGCACCTATTAAAATACTCAGGACCAGTTTGCTCTAGCCATTCTTTCTCCTAAACAATGGACAGTTCAGGGTGGCAAGAGCAGGGACAGGAAGATTCCAGGGGGCTGGTGTCGAGGGTAAATGGCCTGTATTCGATATAGCACCTTCTAGAGTCCTGGAACCCCTCAAGGCACTTTACAACACAATCAGTCATTCACACATTCACACACTGGTGGGGAAGAGCTACAATGTAGCCACAGCTGCCCTGGGGCATACTGACAGAGGCGATCAGAAGCCAGTAGGCTCTGGGGGAATCAGGAACCAGGGGTGCCTGGAGGGCTGGCAATGTAGGAGCTAGAGCCTGCAGGCCTTTGGGCTCTGGTAACATAGGAGCCGAAACCAGTGGGAAGCCTCTGAAGACTGGGACTGTCAGGGAACCTCCGAACATGAGGGCTCGGACAGCGTTTCTGGACACTGGAACCTTCCGGAAACCTCTGGACAGGCTGGTTCAAGCAAAGTCTCTGGAGACTGGGAGCCTCGAGGAACATTTGAACAGTAAGTAAGTGCAGTCTATGATCTAATCCTTGCAGATGGATGGATGTCCTCTATACCTTTCCGGAGGCTGTAGAGTCGCATCGGTTGCTGGATGTTCTGCTGAGTCCTTGTTGCTGGTTGGTTTGTTCTGTCAGTGTTTTTGATGTTCGTGTAGGACCCAAAATGCAGTAATCCAGGGACCTCCCATGTAAGATGGTAATTTAGTCCATATTTATTAAAGAAACCAGGAGCAAACACAGGAAGAAAATGCTGGTAGTAAACAAGACAAACCAACAAATGAGAAGTGACCAAACAGGATGATTATGTTTACGTGTATTTATTTGGCAGACACTTTTATCCAAAGCGACTTACAATTTATAGCCTATAGGGCATGTTGTGATCTGTGGGTGAAACCGGAGAAGCCGGAGGAAACCCACACATGCATGGGGAGAACACGCAACTCCACGCAGAAAGGCTGCAGCCGAGTTTCGAACCTGCAACCTTCATGTTGCGAGGCAACAGTGCTAACAACTGCGCCACCATGCAGCCTAGAGGAGTATACAGGAGAATAAATACACAGAGGGGAGTGATGGGAGAGCATAAAACAGGTGATAAATGCTGATTGTCAAGAGGAAGGGGAGGCTAATGAGCTGGGTGGGGAGGCAGAAATAAAAAGACTCTAGGAGGATGAGGAAAATACTACAAGAAACCTACAGGGAAATTGAAAGCTAAAAGGAACTAGTAACACACGAGAGACAGCATAAAACTAGATGAACTGCATTTCTGGCAGAAATGCTGTTCAAATGCTGGATGCTGAAAATGATAGCTGAAGCTGCTGAATGGCTAAGTAAAATTTCAAAATTAGCTAAATGTATTTGAAGATTTAGGAGCAAAAATCTCTTAACACTTAATACAGCCCAAAAACAGCAGTTGAAGATTGGACTGAGTAACACTGCCCATCCATCCATTTTCGGCTGCTTATCCGGGGTCGGGTCCTTCCTAGTAAGGATATTTAGGATGACTGAGCCACGTCAACTGGCGCCTCTCGTTGTGGAGGAGCAGCGGGTCTACTCAGAGCCCCTTTTGAATGACAGAGCTTCTCACCCTATCTGTAATGGAGAGGCCAATCACCATGAGGAGAGAACTCATTTTCTCATCCCATTCTTTTGGTCACTACCATGACCATTAGTGAGGGTTGGAACATAGACTGACCAGTAACTGGAGAGCTTTGCCTTCCAGCTTAGGTCATCAATCCACCTATCAATCTTGTGCTCCATTTTTCCTTCACTCATGAACAAGACCCAGAGATCCTTAAACTCCTCCACACTCAACCCTGACCTGGAAAGGGCATTCTACCATTTTCAGACTCCAGACCATTGTCTCGGATTTAGAGGAGCTGACTCTCATCCCAGCTGCTTCACACTCAGCTGCAAACCCCTCCAGTGAGAGCTGAAGATTATGTTCTGATGAAGCTGACAGGACCACATCATCTGCAAAAAGCAGAGACTCAATCCTTAGGCCACCAAACAGATCCCTTCAATACCTTGGCTGTGCCTAGAAATCCTGTTCATAAAAGTTATGAACAGAATTGGGGACAAAGGGCAGTCTTGGCGAAATCCAACTCTCACCAGAAACAAGCCCACTGGCCAAAAATACGTGATAGAATGGTTTCTTCAGCTTGACGGCTTTCCTAACAGTTTGTGTCCACCAGTGGGTTCGGGTATTTAGCCCACAACAGGCACCGATGTCTCTGAAGCCGCAGCTCCAATAGGCCACCTCGACAACGGAAGCATGGCCCACTCAGACTCATTGTCCCCCGCCTCCCCGGGAACATTATGGAAGTTCTGCCAGAGGTGGAAATTGAAACTTCTTCTGACAGGAAACTCTGCCAGATGCTCCTAGCAAACCATCACAATACATTTGGGCCTGCCAGGTCTGACCGGCATCCTCCCCAACATTGAAGCCAACTGACCACCAGGTAGTGGTCAGTTGACAGCTCTTCCCTTTTCTTCATCCGATTTGCCAAGACATGCAGCCGCAGATCAGATGAAATGACAAAGTTAACCTTTGTGTCTGAATATATTGTTCAATATGGGCAATACATGATGAGCACATAAGTCCAACAACAAAACAAAGCTCAAATTCAGATCAGGGGAGCCATTCCTCCCCACCAAACCTCTCCAGGTCTCACTGTCATTGCTCACATGAGCGTTAAAGTCCCCAGAAGAATGAGGGCGTCACCGGAAGGAGCACTCTCTAGCACCCCTCCAAAGACTCCCCCCCCAAAAAAAAAATTGAGAGAGAGAGAGAGAGAGAGAGAGAGAGAGAGGGGACTCATGCTTGGATGGACTGATGGACAAATAGTTGAATGGATGGATAGATAGATAGACAGACAGACAAAGAGTCAAAGAGACAGACAGAGAATGGGTCAAACCTTTTCATACTGACAGCATCAGCTGCTAAACTCTTTCAAACCAACTGCGAAATTTTCAGGTGTGTCCCAGAAGCAACACGCCACGCCGCTTTTTGCCGTATGACGCTTCTGGGACACGCCAGTTTCCACAGTCAACACAAGGCTAGACAGGACATCACACAGTTTCAATGTGAAATCCCCGGTAATGTCCTAAAAAGTACTGCAGCGATGCAATTTAATGTATATGTGACTAAAGTGTGACTAAATGGCTTATTTGCTCAGCATTGTTCCAGAAGTGCAGCAGTTTGTTTTTCATTGCTTTAATCCTGGCAGCGGAGGGTAACATCTTATTTGACATCAAAAAGAAATATCAAACATGATTTTTCCTTCTTTTTGGTTTAATAGCAGATTGCATAAACAAACAGTCACTTTTGAAGTCTCGAGGGATCTTGTGATCTTGCACGTCAAGCGAGGAAGACCCTCCCAGTGTGTAATGGACCGTATTGAAGCTTGCGAGAAAAATGTTTTGCTGTCGTTTAATGCATCCAGTGTGAAACAGGGGTCAGAGTCAGAGACAGGCAAACAAAGAGACATACACAGACAATTTAAGAGTCAGAGAGACAGAGACAGACAAACTGAGAAAGAGGAAAGAAGGAACAGACAGATATGTAGACTGAAATAAGGGGCAAGAGTCAGAAAAACAAATACTAACAGAGAGACTGAGACCGAAGGGTTAGGGTTCCTTGAGGACCAGGGTTAAGAAACGCTTGTCTAAGGTGAAAGTTAAAACAAATGTGAGGACAAAAGAATTACCAGCTCAGTGGCCTAGTGGTATGAGTGTGCCCTAAGACTGGGAGATCAGGGTTCAAATCCTTGTCAGGTCACACCAATAATTTGGGACCCAATGACTCCCTGCTTGACCTCAGCATTAAGGGGTTGGATTGGGGGTTAAACCACCAAATGGTTCTCGAGCACAGCTGTGTCTGCAGCTCACCGCTCCCCCAGGGATGGGTCAAATGTGGAGGACAAATTTCACACACACAGTGTGTGTGACAACTATTGGGACTTCAACTTTTAACTTTAGGTAATGTTTTCACAATGACAGAGGCTGCATTTGAACCTGGGTCTGTTGGACTAAAGTGCAAGTAACGCCTAAATTTACTTTTTTTTTGCTGATAACCTGTATAGATGAGTGTCTAATGGTGCTACAGACATGTGTAATCATTAATGTGGTAGTTTAGTGCAACTTACTTTAAATTTATATTTCAACCCGAATTATATCTCCATCTTCAGGTAAAACACTCTGCTCCACATTTATTTACAGTAGAATCAGCTGTGGCTAATGGCTAAGCTGGAAAATGTCAGCAAAGTACTACGTGGCTGCACTGCACTGGTCTCCAGGTGAGGCAGCCGCACCTCCACCTGGCTTAACCACACACATGCTGATATGACATGTTGGCGCTCTGAGCCACTTGCCTCCTTGAAAAAAATGCCCTCCTCCCCTTTTCATCTAATGAT